GTGTGTGTGTGTGTGTGTGTGTGTGTGTGTGTGTGTGTGTGTGTGTGTGTGTGTGTGTGTGCAGCACTGCAGCCAATTTGTTCCTTTTAGCGGAAACAACAGAGGAAGCTTTTATTTTAAAAACATGAGCAGTATCCAGGCACAAACATACAGATATATACACTACTAAAGTTACACATCATTCTTCTTTTCACCATATAAGCAGATCCAACTCTCCTAAGTTAATGAGTTAATTAGGTGTATAAGCTTTTTTTTCAGTAGTACGGGAGCCAGTTAACCTGCGTGTCAACTTCACAGGATGCATGTAATTATGATAGATTGCCAGATGGAATGGCTGTAAAAAAATAAAATAAATAAAATAAACCAAATTAAGCCATTTGTCACCCAGCCCGGAGTAAGAAGGAAACAATTTTCTGTTCACATTTTTAAAGGCAGGCTGTTTATTGTTAATCCAAAGCAACATCAGAGCAAAATACCATTAACTTTTTTTTATTTGTTCCTTTCCTCAGTTTTGTGTGAAAAATCCAATCATCATTTGAGTGATTGAAATGAAATTTTATACAGACAGTTGTGGTTATGGAAGTGATGAACTATTATGGAAATTTTGATGAGACAAGTGTCATCATTGCACAAAGACGGTGCAAGTTCTCAGACTCAGATGTTCCAGAAACATTTATTGGGTCTTGGCACCAGGCTACAGTTTTTACAGTTTATATTTTCACTGCAGTTCTAAGGATCTCTTCAGCACTATGCATTTTTGTACTTACCGGTAAATCAGATACCTGATGCTTAATGCGGTGTGTCTTTTAGTTACATACAGCCCACCTTTATAACCTTTATACTCGGTGAAATGCTCTGAAGTCAATGGGAGACAGGGTACAGGGAAGAGACCCTGGATTTAAATTCCCCCTAAATTCCACCAAATGTGATCTTGCCTGAGCTGTCAGGTGGACTGGAGGTTAGGATTCATACTGTGTGGGTGATTTGTGTCTTGATTTCTAACTATACCTATTAAAACTTCAGGCCAAAAACATATCTTAAAGAAATACTTCGTTTGAATCTTACTTTGTTCAATGCATCTGTTGCACCTAGAAGTTTTGTCATTATGATAGATATTATGTCATTTGTCACTGTAAGCATGTTAGCATGCTGATGTTAGCCTTTTGTTCATGGTCACAATTGTGTCAGCAGAGGAGGCTGTTGACTTAGTCTTGTTAAAATGATTGATATTCACTGTATTTGCACACCTGTATTATTATATGCTAATGCTCTTTGGTGATGATGGATGCAGATATACCCAGAGATGCACTGCAAATGTTGCATACCAGATTTAAAACAGTAAAAGTAGTCACCTAGTGGTCTATAT